CTGGGTGTCTGATATTTTGCAGAAGCGAGTTACAGAAGCCAAGAAAAGCGCCTTTAGTTAAAACATTTCCTGCTAAGCAATACCCGAAACATCCTATGGTTGCTGCATTGGCTAGGGGCGGGGTTTTACTGGAACTCATATTCACGAAATGGAGAATGCTCTCTAGGTGGTTCTGGTATTGCTAAGTTGGGTCTCACATTCCCCACTGGTTCTGGTTTTATTTAATCAAATCTTTGATTCATCTTCTATTTCTTCTGAAGGGAGAGGATTGTATCGTTCTCTCAATACCATTAGTTTGACAGAGTTAACTCGTTTAACATAATTGGACGATGAATTTAAAATGTAAGGCCCTATCATTAATGGCAATAGGAGGATAAACAAGGGTCCTGTCAAGGTAGATATTAGGGTTGTCACCCAAGGTAACCAATTGAACATAGTTTAATTCCAGCTTTGTCCTTTTTGATTCCAGTATTTTTCCTTTAAATTTTCACCTACCATTTCTAGGGTATCACGGATAATCCCTGACTGGTTGGCATAAAAACAGCATGTTTCACCCAAGGCTACGCAGAGCCCACCTTGTTTCATGAATAATAAATCTAAATCCCTTCTGTTTTGTAATACTAACTCAGCTAATGAATTTACTTGTTTTTCTAACCTGGAGACTGAATCTTCTAAATGACCTAGATCTCGAGCAACCTGATGACAGAGGGCTTTGAAGCTAGAATCTTGTATTATTAAGGAGGAAGTCCCATTGGCTGCCGATCCAGCCACGCTTAACCCGAGGAGTATAGGGACCAAGACAGGTGCAGCTCTTTTGGTGCGAAGGGTCCCATAGGGGTTAGAGATTGGGCCTCAATGTTCTTGTCCTCCTTCTCCATTATCATACAGGACCTGGGGGAGCACATACACTGTTACACACAACAAGCTATCAGAATTTTCAGTAAACTGAGATTTTGTTATCCAGTTGGTTAGCCCTTCAGTGCAAGCAAACCATGTCTCAGAAGTAGCCTTGTATGGAGGCCAGTTTTACCTGATGTGTGGTTAGTGAGTCTTGTCACATAGACTTTGGTAAGGGGAGCTTTCTAGATTATAAGTAGGGCCAGCGAGACATCTCCCTGTCCCTTGAGTGTCTCCCAAGGTCAGTCTTGGCCTGTCCCAGGTACAGTTATATGAGGACACAGATACAGGGTCGGTATTTGTTCCAATCCCCAGATAATAGGGAGGTTTTGGGTCTAAACATAACCAACAATCCTTTGCTTCATTGGGCTCAGACAAATTTAGCAAGTTGTGGATATGAGCCAACATCTGTAAGATTGGGGTAGCTGAGTTAGGTCTGGTAGTGGTGAGGGGTTTGTTTGTCTGGAAATTAGTAGGGGTTAATTCAGTCACGGTGGGAGCTAGGGTCACCTTTTTGGGCTGTTGGGGTCTATGGACCAGGGTAGGTAGAGCTAACTCTTTGTTAGGACCCGTAGGTATAGGAGGGGGTTTATATCTACTTCTCTGTATTGTGAATCGTACACCAGGGTCCCATCCCGCGACATATAATCTGAGCCCCCATGTTTTTCCAGCCTTCCAACTTGAGTCTGTTATCCATTTGATGTTGATTTTTATAGGATATCAGGTTCCTGAATTACAGCTACTATGATATAATGTTGTGGGGGAAACACCTATCCAAACGTCCTCTACTCGGACTTGCCAGGGGGCTATAGTTTCACATCCCCAGGCACCAGTGATAATCTCCCTTCTCCCCACATTTAGGAGTGCCCTCTGCTGGACAAACATAGAATTGAACAGGATGTGGTTCCGTCCAACTTACGATTGTGCACCCTCCTGTTCCTCTGGCTAGACTCCATATTTCCGAAAACAAACTGCACAGACTTAAACTGAATTCAACTTGGCTGGTATCGGGACCCTTATGAACTTGGCTGACCACTCTGCCACTTGTGGTCATCCTGAGTTCCCAAATTTCTGTTTTTGGGTTGTTAGCATCACCTCCCTGAAACCTTATCAGACATAGAATTACCATAATTATGGTTTTGTTTCCCATCCCAGTCTTATCTTTTGGTCCTCGGGCTGGCTGAGGACCTTCCATGTCGATGGTGGGTTGTCCTCTGGTGGTGCCAGCTTGGCATGAGTGTGGTGAATCCAAGGGGTGAGCCCGGCCACCTTTAGCATGGAAGGGGTTGTCAGGATCACTGGGTAAGATCCTTTCCAATGGGGCTCCAGGGTCTTGGAGTGATGTTGGCAAACCAAGACAAGATCCCCTGGTTTGAACTGGTGGGGCAGGAAAGGCTGTTGTCCTCTGGTTGCCCATATGCGGTGACAGATCTCAAGCTGAATCTCTTGCAAGGCTTGTAAAGATCGAATTTAAAAATCATTATTCATTGGCCTGTTCCAAATTAACTCTGGGGAGGAGAGGAGGAGGTCTCCCGTACACGATCTCAAATGGGGTGATTTTTTCCACATATGGGGAGCATCTAACGTGTAGCAAGGCAAGAGGGAGATCGGGCCGCTTTCCGCCAGTTCCTAAAACGAATTTAGTTAATGTCTCTTTTAAGGTCCTATTCATCCTTTCCACTTGCCCTGAACTCTGTGGGCAATAAGCACAATGTAATTTCCATTTAATATTTAAGGCCTTTGCCAACTGTTGAGACACTTGGCCTGTGAAGGCCAGACCATTGTCGGACCCCAGGTAACGTGGGAGACTGAAACGGGGGATGAGCTCTTGGAGCAATATTTTTGTAATCACGGCTGCAGTCTCTGTTTGGGTTGGACAGGCTTCTACCCACCCTGAAAAAGTGTCCACCAGAACTAGCAAATACTTGAATTTATGTTTACTTGCCTTTATCTCAGTGAAGTCCAGTTCCCAGTGTTCTCCTGGTTGGGTCCCCCTAAACCGAGTCCCAATGTTTTTGGGTCTCGTTGGGGATTTACCTTGGTGGCACCTGGAACAAATATCTTGAGCCAACAGAGTTAGTCCTGGGATTGAAAACTTAGAGCTTACCAGATCTTTTAATTTCCTTTGCCCCAGATGGGTGAGACAGTGGAGTTGTTGAAGTATTTGTCTTCCCAACACTCTGGGTAAGCAAATGAGGCCATCGGGTCTCTCCCACCATCCAGAACTCTGGTTTTATTGCTCCTGATTGTTTATTTTGAACTTCTTCCTCAGGGGTATAGTTTGGCTGGTTTGGTAAGTGTTCCAGGGGCTTCATAGTAGCTTTTTGTTTGTTTTTGGTACCAGGGATCGAACTTGGGTCCTTCCGCTTGCGCAGCAGGTGGCGAAACCACTGAGCTAAATCCCTGGCCCAAACAATGCTAATTTTGTTTGTTTGTTTTGGTACCGGGGACTGAACTCGGGTCCTTGCGCTTGCAAGGCAGGCAGCGGAACCACTGAGCTAAATCCCCGACCCATGTTCCAGGGGCTTTACGAGTAGGATGTCTATAGGCCCCACTGGTTCTTTGGCCACTCTTTTGGACACTAGGTCTGCTGCTCTGTTTCCTTTTGCTTCATAGTGGTCTCCCTTTTGGTGTCCTCTGAAATGGACAATGGCTACTGCCTTCGGTTCCCAAATTGCCTCCAAGAGGGCCAGAATCTCCTTATTTTTGATGGTTTTTCTTTCCGAGGTTAAAAGACCTCGCTGTCAGTAGATGTCACCATGTACATGAGCAGTGGCAAACGCATACCAGCTATCAGTGTAAACGTTTATAGTTTTTCTTTTTCCCAGCCATAAGGCCTGTGTTAAGGCAATCAGCTCGGTCTTTTAAGCTGATGAGCCTTGGCTCATTGATTGGGCCCACTTTACCTGTCCCTCCGGTGTGACCATGGCTGCTCCTGCATACCTGATGCCTTCTTCTACGTAAGTAAACCTCCTCCGGTCTCTTGATGGGGACGTCCGTAAGGTCAGGGCGGTTGGAGGAAGACGAGATGATAGCATCTTCACAGGTATGGACAGGTGCGTCCAATTTAGGATCAGGGAGCAGCGTTGCCAGGTTGTGGGACACAGTCTGGGCAAAAACGATCCTAGGGTGATTTAGGAGCAAGGCTTGATATTGAGTCAGCCGTGCGTTTGAGAGCCATTGACTGGGAGCCCCTCTCAGTAATGTCCTGACGGGATGTGGGGTGACAATAATCAGGTCTTGGCCCAGGCTCAGTTTGTCTGCCTCTTTTACCAACAAGGCAGTGGGTGCTATGGCCTGTAGACAGGATGGCCATCCAGTGGCTACTGGATCCAATCTCTTAGATAAATATGCAACTGGTCTGTTCCAAGGTCCCAGGGTCTAGGTTAATACCCCTTTAGCAATTCTTCCCCTTTCTATCACAAACAGGTGAAAAGGTTTTGTGATGTGAGGAAGCGCCAGAACAGAGGCCGAAGTAAGGGCCTCTTTTTTTTTTTTTTTTTTTTTGGTACCGGGTCCTTCGTGGTGGAACCACTGAGCTAAATCCCCAGCCCGTAAGGGCTCCTTTAATCCTTGGAAGGCTTGCTCTTCCTTCTCCGTCCAAAGGAGTGGGGACTCCCCCCCAGGCTGTGGCTGAATATAAGGGCTTCTCGATTTCAGCGAACCCTAATATCCAGAGTCTGCAATAGCCCATGGACCCTAAGAATTCTCTGACTTGGTGCTTTGTAGTTGGAGTTGGAATTTGGAGGATGGTCTGAATTCTCTGGTTTAAAAGCAATCGCTTTCCTTCAGATAGTTGGTAGCCCAAATAGGTGGTCTTTGTGACACAAATCTGTGCCTTTTTGGCTGAGACCCTATAACCGAGGGCTTGTAGCAGCTCGAGGAAGTCTTTGGTTACTTCTTTGCAAGCTGCAAGGTCAGTTGTGGCTATTAGTAAATCATCTACATATTGTAACAGAGTCACATTTGGGTGGGCCGTTCAATAGGGAGATAAGGTGGGGGAGTTTTTGAATCCCTGTGGCAGCCTAGTCCAGGTCAATTACCCTGAGAATCCCTGGTCCAGGTCCACCCATTCAAAGGCAAATAAAGATTGGCTCACCAGCGCTAGGGGAATGCTAAAGAAGGCGTTCTTGAGGTCCAATACAGTATATACCTTGCGATCTGGTGGCAGGAGGCTCAGCAATGTGTAGGGATTTGGGACAGTAGGGTGAACAGTCTCCACTCTCTTATTTCACGTAGGTCCTAGACTGGGCAGTAGTCTCCTGTGCCTGGCTTTAATACTGGAAGAAGTGGGGTATTCCAGGGGGACTTACATGGTCTCAGGATTTCAGCATCCAGGAGTCTCCGAAAATGAATCCTCCTTTTTTCTCTGGCAGCTGTCTTGATAGGGTATTGTTTGATGGCGATGGGGGTTGCTGCTGCCAGGAGGGTAACCACAACAGGAGGTTGGTGTGCTGCCAGTCCAGGCAGGTTTGTTTCTGCCCAAACCTTAGGAAAGAGCCTCTGAAATTCTTTTATCAATTTTGTATCTCCCTCTGGAACCTCTGGATCACCTTGGGGCTGGAGGAGATATTCCTCCGACAGCGGGCAAGTGACCATGCTCTGACTTGGCATACCCAAGTGTAGACTGGCATCTTGTTCATTAAAAGAGATGGTGGCCCTTAATTTCCCGAGGAGATCCCATCCCAACAGGGGATAGTGACATTCTGGGATAACAAGGAAAGAATGCATCATTGTGTGACTTCCTAAATCCACTGTCCTAGAGGTAGTCCATGGGTACATTTTATCTCTGGTGCCTGTTGCTCCTTGCACTAGGGTTTTTGTGGCAGTCATGCTCCCGATGGTTGTAAAAGTACTGAATGAGCCGCCCAGTATCTATGAGGAAGTCCACTGGAGTGCCCCCAACTTTGACTGTTATCATGGGCTCCCAGGGGCTCAACACAAAAGAGCCCTGATGTCCCTAGTCTTCTGTTTCCTCTACTGCCAGTATTTTTGGTCCCTTTTTGTCCTGGTTTTCTTCCCTTTTCTTATAAAGGCAGTCCCTCTTCCAGTGTCCAAACTGTTTGCAAATAGCACATTGGTCTTTCCCTAGGGGAGGGCAATGTTTGTCTCTTGGTGGTGGTTTTTTTTCTCCTCCCTGTGTCTTAAGTCTTATGAGCTTCCAGTGCGGCAATGGTTACCTTTCCAAGCCTCTTGGCTACTGCTTTTTCTGGAGTATCTCTATTATCAAAGACTTTCTGGGCGACGCCCAAGAGCTCAGACCTATTCTTTCCCTGAAATCCCTCTAATTTCTGTAATTTGTTTTCTTTTTTTTTTTTTTTTTGGTACCGGAGATCGAACTCGGGTCCTTGTGCTTTTGAGGCAAGCAGTGGAACCACTGAGCTAAATCCCCAGCCCTGTAATTTTTCTTTTTTCCCAATGTCTGGGGCCGACTGAGAAACAAAAGGTAGATTAATAGCGGCAAGGTATTCTGGTGCATCCGGGTTAATGTGGGTATATACCCAGTAGGCTTCTAAGCCTTTCCAGAAAAGCCTCAGGCGACTCTGTTTTTCCCTGAAGAACCTCACTTACCTTGGTCAAATTAGTAGGTTTAGGGCCAGGGATTTAGCTCAGTGGTTCCACCACCTGCCTTGTAAGCTCAAGGACCTGAGTTCGATCCCTGGTACCAAAAAAACAAATTAGTAGGTTTTCGTACTGCCAACCAGAGTCCACCCAAAAGGTGCTGGCGGTAAGTGTCCAATTCCCTCTAACCATCATTTGTGTTGGGATCCCAATTCGGACACTTCGTGGGCAAGACAGCCTCTATACCTTGGGCATGGTCAGGGGCGGTGTGGCCACCAGGGCCCAAGGCAGCTCTAATTGTCTCCTGAAAAATACGGTCCCTTTCTTCCAAGGTGAAAAGGGTCTGTAAGAGCTGTTGGCAGTCATCCCAAGTTGGCTGATGGGTGTGGAAAACAGACTCAAGAAGAGAGGTTAGAGCCTGGGGTTTCTCAGAGAAAGGGAGATTTTGATATCTCCAATTATAAAGATCACTAGTGGTAAAAGGCACATACACAAAACCCCCTCCAGGCCGGGCTTCATGGAGAAGAAAAAAGGAGGGCCACGCCGGGCATAGAGTCAGGGGAGGCAGGGCCCCCTGCTGTAGTTCCTCGAGGCCCATAATCTTGTCCCGACCTGGTGTGGGGGGGACCAAAGATCCTCCTGTGTTGAATCTGGGGTTGGAGGTGTTGAGCTAGGATAAGGAGGGGCCAAGGAAAGAGGATCCGTCTCATCTTCAGGATGAGGGGGGAAAACATCTGTTTGTCCTTGTTTCCTGTGGAGAGATGGGTTAGGTTGACCCTCAGACCTAGCCACCAGGATCTGAGCTTTGGGTCCTTGGACCCATCGGTTCCTTCCAATCATGGGCCTGAAAACAATGTTAGTGAGTCCATCGAATTTAAGAGAACAATGTAAGAGCCATTTACTAGGGTTATCAATCATATCATTCCATACATCAATATATGGGAACTGGTCTGGGTGTCGCGGTCCCTTCTCTCCTGCCACCACACCCCAGACTCCCTTGGGTGGGCAGTCCACCCTAAACTTGGGCCATTCTAGTTCACAGAAGGTGCAAAGTTTTCCTTTGGAAAACTTCACCCCATATCCATCCTCCCTATCTTCAGAATATATTTGCTTAAAATGTTTCAAAACACAATCTAGAGGCGTAAGTGCCTTGGATTCCGAATTTCCCATGTACTTTCGACTAAAGATATAAGACAACGTGGAACACAGAACGATGACAAACGAAACAAATATGGCGCCGGACAAACAAGTGAGTGCCACCCCTGTATCACTCTTTAATTGGGTGGGCGATTCCTGTCAGAGAAGTCTATGTCGCACCCGACCTCCTTCTGTTCCCCAGTCGCGAGCCACAGACCGTCAGGTACTTACCTCCGGAGGCTTTTCAAATAAAGTTCCCCGTGTCGATTCAAAATGCCTACACGCCTCCGTCAGCGGCCGCCGGACTTGGGCCCCGGAACGCCTCAGGGTGGCCTCCCCAAGATTCGGGCAGGTCGGTGACAGCCCGGGCGCCAGAGACGTCTCAAGGCCGTCGGCTCAAGGAGATCTCGCTGGGGCCTGCAAACGTTGGACCTCGTCCCCACAGTACTCAGCGACGATCCCTTAAAGCACGACACGGTCATGAGAGCTCACTGGAGAACTTTATTTTCCGGCCGGGACCCATGTACACTCCAACCGAGTCGGAGGACAAGGGCCCCAACTGAAATGAGGACCGCTTATTTAAAGGGAAAAACCTCAGAGAAAATTTCCCCCCTCCCACTCCCCTGGGTGTCTGATATTTTGCAGAAGCGAGTTACAGAAGCCAAGAAAAGCGCCTTTAGTTAAAACATTTCCTGCTAAGCAATACCCGAAACATCCTGTGGTTGCTGCATCGGCTAGGGGTGGGGTTTTCTCGCGGGAACAGGGCACAACTGGAACTCACATATTCACAAAATGAAGGAGAATGCTCTCGAGATGGTTCTGGTATCGCTAAGTTGGGTCTCACAGACAACGCTGCACCTGCCTCAGCGGTCAGCAGCCGAGGACCGCGCTCCTCACTGACGCTACCGCCGGCCCTGCGCCCTACACACGCGCCACTTGATGACGTCACAACGCCCGCGCCGGTTCCAATGGTGACGCACAAAGTGCCGCGCCAAAGGCTACTTCAAGTCGCGGCTGCGCCTTGGGGGTTAGAGCCGGTCGGTCCTGGCGCGGGTAGTCGGGCTGTGTCTGCACGTCCCTCCGTTCCTTTGGTTCCGTCGTCCCCGAGTTGGTGGCTTCCCTAGGCTCGCCTAAACGCCAATTCTCGGGACCCAGCGATGCTCCTGCAACCGCGCTGTCGCTCTGCGAGAGCCCAACCTCTAAACTCTTCCCCAGGCTTGCAGGACAGTGCACACCGCTCCCCTCAGAGAACGCTTCAGAGTTTACAGTTTAAGCAAAGTTGTAAAAATACCGGAAGGGCAGGTGCGGTGGCGCCCGTCTTAATCCCAGCTACGAGGAGGAGCCAGGAGGACCACGTGAGCTAGGAGTTCGAGACTGGCCAGGACAACAAAGCGAGCCCAGACTGGAGAGAAAGGAAGGGTTAGGGGAGAATCAGAGACTACTGTACCTGCGAAAGACGGAGTGGAAGGGCGAGTTGACCAGGTCCTTGGATTGGGTTTGTTTGCCTGCCCGCGACCTGGCTTGAGATCGAGGCTGTTACGTTACAGTGAAACTAGTCGACAGGTTTGTGTTCTCCATCCAGCCACGTCCAGCTCTCCGATGCAGTTTGGAGTGGCAGTGAGCTGGTGTTTTGCTATGGGAGTGCAGCAGAAGGGGTGAGAGAGGAGGGAATGGCGACGATTCACTGTGGAATCTGGACTGGAGAAGGTGAGCCTCAAAGGAGGATGGCAGCCTCAAAGACAACGGGCATGGTGGCGCACCCTTGTAGTGCCAGCACTTGGGAGGCGGAGGCAGGAGGATCGCCTGCAAGTTCAAGGCCATCCTGAACTACATAGCGAGACCCAGTCTCAAAAAAAAACAAAAAAATAGTACTCCATTGTATTTTTTTTAAACCCACATTTTTAAAATCCATTCGTCAGCTGATGGATATTTGCGTTGTTTCCAAGATTTAGCTATTACACACTGTGCCGCTATAAACATGGGTGTGTAAGACCGAGGGCCTTACCAAACGCTCCGAGGAGCTGACTGCAGTGAAGCACACCCGGGGATCCCAGCGGTGCCTCCAAAATGTAAGACCGAGGGCCTTACCAAACGCTCCGAGGAGCTGACTGCAGCGAAGAACACCCGGGAAGGAACACCCGAGAAGGAACACCCGACAAGTTGGAAAAGTAAAACAGACCTTTATTAGTCTGGCCAGACGGCACTCTCCAAGCACAGGCTTAGAGAGGGCCCCGAGTTCAGGGGGTTGGAAGGTTTTATAGGGGCTGCAGGGGTGCTTAGCAAGCAGAACTACAGAAGCGGAATTTTTGAGGTTACGGGACGGTTGGGGGGCGGGTGTTGCAGATGTTCTTTACTTAGCAAACAGGATGTTTCTTACACAGAAACAATGGTACGTTCCTGGTGTCTTAACAGATAAACAAGTACATCCCGGGAACTCTGTGTCCTGTAGTGAACCCGAAACCCACAGGGACAAGATGGAGGGCCTGTAACAAGATGGCGTTACTTGTGCTAAATCTCATCTGGGTCTTACAGGTGTGCATATATAACTCTGGTGTGATGCTTTTAATTCTTTCGGGAAGATACCCAGAAGAATAGCTGGGTCAAATGGGACCTCTAATCCTTGTTTTTTGAGAAATCTCTACACTGATTTCCACAGCGGTTGCACCAGTCTACACTCCCACCAACAATGGGGAAGGGTTCCTTTTCCCCCACAGCCCTGTGAGCATTTATTATTAGTTAATTTCTTTTTTCTTTCTTTCCTTTTTTTTTTTTTTTTTTTTGCTGGTACCAGGGATTGAACTCAGGACCTTCCTTGCAAGGCAGACACAGTGCCACTGAGCTAAATCCCCAGCCCCTGTTATTGGTTGATTTCTTGATAGCAGCCATTCTTTCTGGAGTGAGATGGACTCTCAGTGTTGTATTAATTTACATCTCTGGAAGGAACAGTGACATTGAACATTTTTTCATGTATTTATTTGGCGATTCTCCTTCATCTGAGAAGTGTGTATTCATCTCAGATGCCATAGAGAAGGGCAAACTGGAGACATTTCTAGGCAAATGAATGCACCTTGAAACCATACTCTTAAGTGAAATAAATTGAACACACATGTAAATACCGCATTGTCTCTGGTGTGAGAAACTGAAAGTGTAAATAAGGACCAAAAAGAATAATATTGTGAAATAGGAAGGAAATGTTCAAAATTACACTGAGTGTGAGATACTTTGTTAATAATTAAAATATTTTATGCAAAAAAAAAGGTATAGTATTATGAGGAAATGAGAGATAGATTAGCACATGAAAATATATTTTAGGGCTGGGGATTTAGCTCAGCGGTGCCGTGCCTACCTCAAAAGCACAAGGTACTGAGTTTGATCCCTGGTACCACCAGAAAATACATTCCTTTAAGATCATGATACACAGTGTATTTACCATTGTTCTCTAATAATTTTTTCATAGAATATGGTTTTGATATTTTCTTTCTTAATATCTACTTATATTACATTAAAACTTTTAAAGAGAAAAGACACCATGAGCACTAAATTGGAGGTCCTAGTTGAGTGCAAGAACTGTCGGAACCTGGGTGTGGTGGCACACACCTGTGATCCCAGCACCGGGGAGGCTGAGGCAGGAGGATGGCCAGGAGTTCGAGGCCACCCTGGGATATACAGTGAGTTCAAGGCCAGCCTGAACAACATAGCGAGACCCTGTCTCAAAAACAAAACAAAAACCGTCAGTGAGCATGCTGATGTAACTGGCTGTGGCAGCAAGGAGTCACATACATGTGACCACAGAAGTTTGATCAACAGAGACAGAGAAGAGCCACACAATGATTTTTAAAAGATGAAGTAAGTTTATTATAAAAGTACAGCAGAAATGAGCATAGTCCTGTATTACCTCAGGATGAGGCAGGGGACAGCACCAAAGATGAAGGGGAATCCTCTAGGGAAGGATTTTGCCTGAGACCAAGCCTTTGGCAGCTGAGAGAAGACCCCATGCCACATCCAGTTTCTCAGTTCCTTAAGTACTGTTTTCACACGAAAGTGACTTGGTGCCAACACGCCTGCTTGACTGGAAGGACTGTTGCCAGGCTTGGCTAGACTGGGAGGGATCAGTCCTTTGGTGTTAACAGTTATCTCTATACACTTTTCTTAGAGGGAGATAGCCTCCCTGCAGAAAGGCCTGCACCCAAGGTCATTTAAAAGAGAACATGTATGTCCCAGATGATTCATCACTTTAACCCATTCCAACACTGGAGTAAGCTGGGTCACTGTCTCCCAAAATCAAAGATTAAATTGGAGGACAAAGGAGGCAGACAGGAGGAATGTTTATTAAGAGGAACAGCTCCCAGTCATCAAGAGGGGACCTGAAAGTGTGTTGCCACAGGGACTTGTCTAGTTTTCATACCAAAAGTGACCAGGTCTCAGACCACTCCATGTCAAACTAAGGTCAACCTATAGGATTAAAACAAGCTTACTTTAGGGCTGGGGATTTAGCTCAGTGGTTTCATCACCTGCTGTGCAAGCACAAGGACCCAAGTTTGATTTCTGATACCAAAAAAAACCCCCCAAAAACCCAAAGTTACTTAAACTAGAAATGGGCCTACGAGGAGTAAAGGCATGGAGCAAGCAGATGTCTGCAGTGTCTCTTGGCCTCTTTCCTATCCAAGCAGTTTGTTAAAAGAACAAAGTGAGCCAGGCATTTAGCTCAGAGGCAGCACGCCTGCCTTGCAAAATGTCCTGACCCTGATCCCCAGTACCAAAAAAACAATTAAGGGAGCTGGACGTGATGGCACACCCCTGTAATTCCAGCACTTGGGAGGCTGAGGCAGGAGAATCACCTCAAGTTCCAGGCCACCCTGAACTACATAGCAAGACCCTGTCTAAAAAATCAAACAGGGCCAGGGATTTACCTCAGTGACACCACGCCTGCCTGGCAAGGACAAGGTCCTGAGTTCAATTCCTGGTACCAAAAAAAATTTTTAACCAAACAGAAGAAAGTGAGAAGGAAGAACGTTTTCCAGATAGGAGCAGAAGTTGTCACAGTGGCCATCTATCACCTTGCTTGTTACCATCTCTGGACCTAATTGTCCACCTGGTTCTTGTTAACGCTTGACCTCAGACTTCGTATCTGACCAGGACCTGGTCATCCTGACTGTATCTTCGGCCCAGTGCCTCTAGCTGCCTGCTATCTTCTGCCTAACTTGCCTGTATGTAATACTGATAGACTGGAGGGCCAGGGATTTGGATCAGTGGGGCCTCCGCCTGCCTCACAAGCGCAAGGTCCAAGAGTTTGATCCAGTTACCAAAAACAAACAAAAAAATACTGATAGGAAATTGAGAGAGGACATGGAGGTGGCCAGCTTCTGAATACCCTGGGAAAGTGGAACTGCGAGCACAGAGGTGGGGAGGGCAGGGTCTCCGGAGAGGAAGCCGATAAACTCAGCACCAAGTACCAAGGAACCATCCTTAACTGACGGTGAAGACTCCCATCATTGCTCTTTTTGTATTAAAAAGAAAAAGATTGAGAACAGGGAGCTAAAACCCTTAAGGCTCCCTGGAGCATGGTCAGGAGGGCAGGATAGTACAACGAATCATGTACTTTGTACAGCTTGGGGGTTTGAAGGGTGAATAAGGACATCTTCACCTCTGTCATATCTGAAAACTTAGTATGCAGAGCATGAAGTCCACAGGGTATACACCAAGCTAGAAATGTTACTGGGGGACACACCAGTCATTTAAGGCTAGGAGGATGTGGATTAACCCTGAACTGACTCAGCATGGTCTGGGCGTGGAAGACCCACCTGAGGATTGCAGCCAACAGCATAAAAAGAGAACTGGAGAGAAAGGTTGGCTGTTGATTTTCTTGGAGGAGCTTGCCATGGGTGGTTTTCCTGATGCGAACTTGGCTGTTCTCTCATCATAAGAGGAGCTCGGGCCCTCGCTGTTGCGAGGAATGGGTGCTCTCATCAGGGGAGCTCTGGTCTTCACTGTGAGCTTCGCTTCCTGGCTCCAGTGTGGATCCCTCAGCTGGTGGCACAAACCCTTCACGCCACTGGCGCAGGCTTTCTGGCTTCCACCCTGGCCTTTGGGCCTTCCCGGGGCAGATCCTCAATGCGGACTTGCATGAGACATTGCCATCAGCTCCAGGCCTCTGGCTGGACTCCTGGGGGACACTGGCTTGGGCTCTAGGCCTTCAGGAGGACTTGTGTGGGACATTGGTATGGGATCCAGGCCCTCAGATGGATTCTTTGGGTCTCTGTGTGCAGCAAATCTCTTGCACGCCTCTGCATTTGACTTTTTGGGTGACTATTATAATAATAAATTAATAATGAATATAAATTATGTGTCCTGAATTAAACCTATTTTCCTTGCAAACCCTGACCATAACAGGATTAAGGTGCTCTAAGTGCCTTTATACATCTTTTGAATTCTCTCTACATTGTTTATGATGAACATGTATTTTCTTTCACATTCACAACAGATAACTGCCATTTCCATGTTTGAGACAAAGCCTTTCCTAGACTTCAACTGTGTGCCCAGAGCACATTCGCGTGAACTCAAAGGCATTGTGGTCTGGCACGGCCCTCACCTCACCCTACTCCTGATCCAGACCTTTCAGTTGGATGCTTAAAAACTGCCCATCCTGGGCCTTTTCTGTTTCTACACAAGCTGCTCCCGCAGGTCATCTCCCTCCTGGACACTCACCTCCTCCTGCCTGCCCAGCCACATCCTCCTCACTCACTGGGCAGCACAGACGTCACTTCCGGAAACCCTCCTGCTGTCCTACCCTCCATTGTCCTGCCAGGTCCCGAGAGCCCCTTCTGTCTCTGAGTATCCTCTTTGATACTCTGGTCCTCAGTCCCTGAGCCCTGCAGGAGCCTCCATCTCCTCCCTAGCTCGGGTGCCTTCATGAGGGACAGACAACCCTCTGGCTGTGTGCTACCCATAAACGATCGAAAACACAGGACAGGCTGCTGGGAGGGTAATGTGGTATATTTGACAAGTAGAACAATCAATTCTCTAGAGCTGCAGAGATCAAAATAAGTGTATCAGTCCATGAACAACTAAGGTAGTTTTCAAATAGCCATATGGGGTATAATTAACATAATAAGCTATAGGTTATTTATAAAGGTTGACAAGTTTCTGGACATACATATACATCTGTGAAACCATTTTAATCCAAACAATGCTCTGGGCTTGGTGGCACAGGCCTGTAATCCTAGCACTTGGGAGGCTGAGGCAGGAGGATCACTGAGTTTGAGGCCAGCCTGGGCTACATAGCAAGACCTTGTCTCAACCAAAAAAAAGTCCACAAATAAAAACTATATAAAGATGAAAGTGAGAAAAAGATGAGCAAAGCACACTCTCGGCATCAGTGACCCTTGGGGCATTGTCTCGTGGCCCCGTGTGCTCCAAGTCCCCAGAGAGCAGGTTTGCAACTGCCTCATCCTCACAAACCCCGCCGCTGGCTGGCTGAGCTCTTGAAAGTTTTCCTTCCTTCTGCTTGTTGGTTCAGTTCTTGGCTGCAGGGGATTCCCTGCCCATGTGCACCCACTGGCACTCAGCACTCAGTGGATCCTCACCAGGGTTCCCACTGTGCTGCATCCCGGGCTCCCTCCCTGCTGGGGCCCGGGCGGGGCAGTGCTCTTCCTGAGCACCCTTCCTGGCCTCTCCGCCCTTCCCACAACTCCTGCCTGTCCATTTTCTTGGGGCTCGCATCCTTTCCCGCCTAATGGCCAGTGTACCTGGAACTGTTGTTCCACACAGCTTGTGTGGCTTTCAGTGGTGTCAGGTTTAGGGTAACCCTGGTCTCTGTTGCTCCATCTTAGCTGGAAGAAGAACTCTGTCAATTTGAAAAAGTAAAATGTGGGACACTTCTTACAGATACTGAAGTTACAACACTAAGACCTACTGCATGGAACAGCCCCTGCCCAGACCACTGTACGGGGAGCAATGTGGATATGGTAGAGGCACCACCAGCACTGGAGATGGGTGGGCTTTCCAGATTGGGTTGATAAAAGATGGTTGTGGGGATGTAAAATGTTGGCTCTCGCTGGAGAGCAGACATCTGGCTTCTGGGCTGAAACATTCTATCTAAAAAAGTGTTTTAAAAATGGGTTATGTGTGGGCTGGGGATTTAGCTCAGTGGTTTCACCACCCGCTGCACAAGGGCAAGGACCAGAGTTCAATCTCCAGTACCAAAAAAAAAAAAAGAAGGTTATGTGGAGAAAGGCCAGATTCTTGTACAGAAGAAGTGTGCCCAGTGCCACTGCGGAAAGGGAGCCACAGTTCTGGGCCAGATCTCCAATGTGCCTGGATGGAGGACAGGCTGGCTGCTGGGTTCTCTTGCACAGATGCCAAGATGGAAGGATCGCTCAGGAAAGGTCACAAGGGTGATGTATTTGGAGAATCTCAAAAAGTACATCCCCAGGGCTGGGGATTTAGCTCAGTGATTCCACCACCTGCTGCGCAAGCACAAGGACCCGAGTTCGATCCCCAGTAACAACAAAAAAAGAAGTACAATCCTGGGACTACATGACCTCTGCTGGCACTAAGAGGAAGGGAGAAGACGGACAGCTTACTTCTGAAAAGCTAATAAGGAGGGAGTCCCTGCTGATTTATTACAAAACAGAGATGTCTAGTGGCTTTTTTTTTTTTTTTGGTACCGGGGATCGAACTTGGGTCCTTCTGCTTGTGAGGCAGGCAGCGGAACCACTGAGCTAAAGCCCCGGCCCATCTAGTGGCTTTTTGATGTGCACCATAACTGAGCTCATACCCAGTATCCAGACCATGAAAGGCTGACAGTCCAGGTTTATGTGGAATTGGCATGTAGCTGAATGGATATCTTTTTCCCCCCCTCAAGTCCCCCCCTCGGACTGAGGACCTTGCACTTGACAGGCAGGCACGGCGCAGCTGTGCTATGTCCCTGCCCCTCAAGTTCTGACAGTAATTCCAGCTCGGTAAATACTGTTTTCTCTTTCTAAAGATATGGTTGGGTGTCCAACTGTTTGCAAAGGTGGAGAATGTCATCTCAAACCTGCTGAGGGTTGACTTTTAGGGTTATAACTGGTTACGTGACTATGTTTACACACTGGGGAATCATTCACTGTCACAGAACCAAGAAGGACTCTCCTGTTTCAGTTTGTGTTGTTTAGCCTGTTAGAGGCAATGGTTGAAGACAAGGAAGCAATATCTATATTTTTGGTCTTGACTATACCAATTTAATTGGTGAGCATTTTTTTTGGTACCAGGGATCAAACTCGGGTCCTTGTGCTTGCGAGGCAGGCGGTGGAACCACTGAGCTAAATCCCCGGCCCAATGCCAATTTAATTGGAAGTCCTTTTATCTAACATGCTGCCCTGCTGGGCATGGTGGCACACTCAGGAAGCTGAGGCAGGATTGCCGAGATGTGGAGGCTAACCTTGGAACTACATAGTGAAACCCTGTCTCAGAAAACCAAAACCAAAAAAAAAAAAAAGAAAGAAAACCAAAACCCAAAAAAATAAAGTGCTGCCTCTTACTTATTGAAAGGTATTTTAGTGCAGTGTATGTATAATACCAACTAAAGACCAACTAAAGAATATTTAGGGCCAGGGATTGAGCTCAGTGGTTCCACCACTTGCCTTGCAAGCACAAAGTCCTGAGTTTGATCCCTGGTACCAAAATAAAAAATATATATATATATATATATTTAACACCTCTTACATTGTATAGTTGATCTGTAAATTCAGATGCTTTTAAAAGTTAGTATATAAGCTGGGCTTGGTGGCCCAGACCTGTAATCCCAGCACTCAGGAGGCTGAGGCAGGAGGATTGTTGTGAGTTTGAGCCCAGCCTGGGCTACACAGTGAGTTTAAGGTCAGCCTGAACTACATAATGAGACCCTGTCTCAAAATTTAAAAAAATGTTATGAAAAAAAACGTTGGAACTACGTCACACTGCAAAGGTGGGCTCTACCAAGATTAAAGATCTGAATTTAAATGGCTGGCTGAGGTCTAGCTCAGTGGTGCAGGGCCTGCCTTGTAAGGGTAAGATCCTGAGTTCAATCCCAAGTACCGGGAAAATAAATAAATAAAGTTACATGGTTAAAATTAACACCAGTAGGAAAACATAGGGGAATATTTTTATATTCTTAGATGTGTGAATTCTTTTGTTGTTTTGTTTTTTGAGACAGGGTCTTGATATGTAGCCCAGGCTGGCCTCGGACTCAGAAAGAGGTGATCCTCCTGCCTCAGCCTCCCGAGTGCTGGGGTTGTAGGCACACTCTACCATGCCCGCCCCAGTGTCTAAATGTGTAAAACACGGAGAAAAATGAGTCTGATGCTATCAAAATTAAGAATTTTTTTAAGCCAGGGTCTCACTCTGTAGTCCAGGTTGGCCTTGAATTTATAATCCTCCTGCCTAAAGCTCCTGAGTGTTGGGCTCATAGGCTGTGCCATCTGTCACCCCTGGCCTAAAATGAAGGCTTTTTTTTCAGTACCGGGGATTAAACCTAGGGCATATGCACTGAGCTATGTCCCCTCCCCACCCCCTTCTGAGACAGGATGTCACTAAGTCACTAAATTGCTGAGGCTGGGCTCAGACTTCTGCTCCTCCTGCCTCCAGAGTAGTGGGGTTACAGGCGTGGGTCACTGCTGCTGGCTGTGGCTCTTTATTTAAATTTAGGTTCCATTGAAATTTAAAATGCAAGTTTGATCCCTGGTAACAACAACAACAAAATTAAAATGCAGCCTAGCATGGTGGCACTCACTCACAATCCCAGCACTTGGGCTGAACCAGGAGGATCTCTGAAAGTTCGAGGCCAGCCTAGACTACATATTGAGTTCAAGGGCAGCTTGAACTGCATAGCAAGACCCTGTCTCAGAAATAAATAAAACAGAATTTAAAATCCAAATAGGTGGCACACACCCGTAGTCTCAGTACTGTAGGAGGCTGACGGGAGGATCCCAAATTCAAGACCCACCTAGTAAACTGTGACTTGATTAACCCTGCCTCGAATAAGTAAAAAGAGCTAAGGGTGGAGCTCAGTGTCAAAAGTGCTGGGTTCGGGCCGGGGATTTAGCTCAGTGGTGCTGCACCTGCCTGGCAAGCACAAGGTCCTGAGTTTGATCCCCGGATCCGTAAAACAAAACAAAAAAAGTATCCTGGGTTCCATCCCCGTACCAAGAAAAAAAAATTTACTTGTTGTTTCTGTTACCCTAGCCACATCCCAAGCTTGACATCCACCAGAATTGGTAGCCGGGGTTGGCTCTAAAGTTGAACTGTATTCTCGGAAGGGTGTGGCTGTGACATCATTCGAAGCGGGAACTTCTGAAGAGCAGGACACGGGGAGGTTTGGGAGGGTGCCCTGCACCCTCACATCCTGTTTCCCTGTGAAGGCGACACCCCACCACCACCAGCCATGTGCAGAGGACAGCTGTGGCTCCTCCTGGCTGCTGAAGATGGAGATAGGGTTTGGGGCTGGGCAGGGAGGTCAGGATTCTGGTTTGGAGACAGGAGGGGTAAGCTGTCCCTGAGGGATCGCAGTGGGAACAGCGAGAGCTAGGACAGACTCCTCTCTGCCTGGCTGGTCCTGCCAGTGTTCATCTGAGAGAGGCTACCAGGCACTGAATGGTTGCCTAGGGTATGGGTGTGTGTGGTGCTGGGGATAGAGCTCCGAGCCTGTGCGTGCAGGGTGAGCACTCTATGCCCAGCCTCATGGCTACTGAGGCAGAGCCAGGGTGACAGCCAGTGTTCCAGCCACTTCTCCTCCACCCACTGGGAAAGTGTAAGCACAGGAACCTCTGACACCAGTGAGAACCAGGCCAGAGCCTCTGGAAGTCACCTCCAAGGCAGAAGGAAGCCATGAGGAGCCACAGGAGAGGGAGATCAGCCAGCTCCACCCGACTGGAGGAGCGGTCTGGGTATGGCTGAGGCCAGTCCGAACAGACCCAGACAGACGGAGAGGGCAAACCAACTCGAAGGGAGGGCAATTCCAGGAGGCAGAGCTGGAGGTCTGTGGGAGAGGCTCAGAGGCTGCCAAGCTGAGGAGGGGCCAGCACCCAAAGGGCACTGCACCAAGAAGGAAGCTGTGGAACAACTGTGGGGTGCCCCCACAAGGCTGGCTGGCTTTTCCTGGAGGGGCTGGGCCGCTGAGTGCCCTCCAACCCTAAGCAGACTGCTTCTGCAAAGCCCTCTGGACTGGCAGACAGCCGAGCCCAAGGCCCCAGGAAGCCCCACTCCAGAGCCCCAGAGCGAAAGGCTGGTACTGCGGTGCCTTCCACTGGGGGCTCCCCACTTCCGCCTGAGGGAGCGGGGCACTACTGAACACACTGCCCATGCACCCCTCCAACAGCCTGGGGACCCAGAACCCTCCCTCGGGCCCCAGCTGTGGGACACATCACCACACCCCACTCTTTGGGATGAGTCACGGTCACGGCTGGCTCTGCCTGTCCCCTATGCTCACACTGCAGCCTCAGGTCATGGTCTCCAGGGGATCTCAAGGGCGGTCTGGGTGGGCAGAAGCCCAAGTGGGCTCAGAGTGCGATGGGGGTTGAGGTTCCATGCAGGCTCCACCTGCTCCCCCACTGCAGCACCATCTGATGAGGCCCCAGGCCAGGAGTCCCTCCCAAGCCACCTAATTGCTGCCTGTCACAACCCAAGTGGGTCACTGAGACGAGCTATTTCTGACTGCATCAGGTGCCGCCTCCTCACCCGCACCAGGCACAGCCAGCCCAGGAAGAGATGCTTCCCAAGGTCAGGATGGAGGGACACTGGGGATGCTCCACTGTCCTCCAGGACTGCAAGGACAGGGCCTTGCTGTTCTTGCCTGGCCCTGCCAGGGCCGTCCAGAGGGTCACAGGGTCCACCTTTCCTTCCCTAACCCCACAGCCTTCTCACCTGTGTCCCAAATAAACACACGAGACCATGTTTTTGGTCTGGGAACGATGCACGTTTAGACATGGGTGCCAGGTCTGCACCTGACCAGCGCCTCAAGGGGAGCAGGCAGAGCGAAGACAGAGGTAGGGTACGGGTGCTTCAGGACACCAGCCAGGGCTCGGGGTTTCGAGGTGGGGGATTAGTCACAGGGACCAACAGGTGCCAGGTGAAGTCCAGGTGGGAGCCCAGGGGCCCCTGGGGAGCTGGCCAGGGCCACCCTCCTCCCAGTGTCCACCATCAGGTGCTCAGGCCTGCCAGGTGGGCAGGCTGGCCTCTGTCCTGGGTGGCTGGGCAGGCAGCACTGCTGGGGTCAGATCCTGGCTCCCACCCCAGGGATGGAGGTGAAGGTGGGGCAGTGCAACTAGTCACGCTGTGGCCACTGAGGCTTCCTGGCTTGGCTGAGGCTTGGGAAAGACCACAGACGGTCCAGCTGGGGAAGGGTGGCAGCTTTCCGGCCCTTGGCTTCCAATGCTGTTCTCCTAACAACCCCCCCCCCCAGCAACATTCCCCACAAGAAGGTCCCAATGGAAGCAGAAAGCCCGAAAGGAAAGGAGGAGCCAGCCTCCCCAAGTTGGGGGGCACTCACCCCTGATGCAGCAGCTGGACGCTGAGCCCAGCCTGTTGAGCTAAGTCATGGCTCTCGGCTTGTCCACACCCACAGAAGACACGAGAGGCCGGCTGACCCTTGCCCCAGGCACCTACAAGGCTGGAAGAGGGAGTGTCGGGGGTTTCTGTCAGAACATGCACCGGCCTGATCTTGGCACAGAGCCCCTTGGACTACAGAGGGGCGATGGGCGGCTCCCACAGCGGCCTGAGATACTAAGGCACAAAGCTAACCTAAGCCCACTGGGGTAGGGAGGGAGGCAGGTAGCCTCCAAGGGGTCGCTCCCCCAACCTGCAAAGCACAAAGTGACCAAGCAATGAGCATGACCTGTCTTCTGACAACTTGGCACAGGACGCAAGTTCAGGGAGATGATCCAGGCGCCAGTGGCTCTCGCTGGACGGGGCTGGTGGTCCTGGCTGCCCCACGAAAGCATCTGAAAAGCGGAGAGTGCCCTGGGCGTGGGCGGCACGCCAGCCCAGCACGGGGGCCAGTGTGGAGCCTGAGTCTAGGAGGCAGACGCCTGGCCAGGAAGGACTCACGATGCTGAGGTCCGTGCGCCCCACGCATCTCCATCAGGCCCTCCGGAGATCTTCAGAAAGGGCCGGGACGAGGAGGGCAGGGCGCACGCAGGGCCCAGGGTCTCTGCCCCCGACCGGACCCGCGCTTCAGGCCTGCCTGCGCAGGCCGGGGCGCCGTGGCGCGGGGTTCATGAGGTTCTCGGTGATGTAGGCCACCAGCAGGCAGATGACCACCAGCATGACGCAGATGGAGCCGCCCACGGCCGTCATGGCCACCACGATCTCGCGCATGGCGGCAGGCTCGGCCGTGAACTCCACGCACTCGGCGGGCTCCGCAGCCACGGCGGGCTCGGTGCGCGGCGGCAGCGGCTGCAGGCACAGGCGGTAGCGCACGCCGTCGTGCACGAAGGGAAGCAGGTAGTCGCGGCAGGCGGCGCCGAGCAGCACGCGCTCGCACGGGAAGCGCGTGTGGGCGCCGCGCCACGAGCAGTTGAGCGCGAAGGCGCGCGCGCGGCGTGCGGGCCCCGGCGGGCGGCGCCACTGCAGGAGCACGCTGCGGTTGCGCAGGACGCTGGCGCGCAGCGAGCCCCCAGCCGAGGCGCGCGCCGCGCAATCGGGCGCCCGGCAGCGGAAGCCGCGCGAGGGACTGCGGAAGCAGAGGCGCCCGCCGCCCGCCTCGGGGCCCTCGGACAGCACCTTGTAGGGGCACCAGGGCGCGTCGGCCGCGGGCTCCCAGCCGGGCGGCGTCGGGGCGGCCACGGCGGTGGCGGGCGGCGCGCAGGCGGCCAGGAGCAGCAGGAGCGGCGGGGCGCGCATCCTGCAGCG